AGATGACGTCAAAATGTGGTAAGAACAAAAAAGTGGCACACGAGGCGCAGCCACAGCAACTTGGAATCTATTTGTTAACCAGACTGTTTTTTCCGGAAAAATGTAAAGCTAAGCAAGTCTACAAAAGTGTGGTTTTTTTATTTTTATATTTTTGAGTCTTATATAAGTTTGTATCCACCCATTGTTTATCAAAGCAGTAAAAGAGATATGTACAGTCAACACTTTTGAAAAATTTCTGTATATTTTATTGAGCGAAGTATACTGTTAACAGAGAAAGATGTTTTTCGTCTTGTGACGAGCATGGGACAAAGAGAAAATTCTGAGTCCCCATGAGGAATTGAACCTCAGACTGACGGATTCCACGCTCCGATGCTCTACCACTGAGCCACAGAGACTCTACGGTGAGCGAGGTCTATTACGAAGTTCATATAACTCGCGTTCTTCCTACTGCTAGGATCAGCAATGTTGATGGCGTCATGTTTGTAATTAGAATAAGAGAGATGGTTAGTTTTGAGCTCTGTCAAGAAATAAAGAAAGATTTTTTTCCGTGTCCCACGCTCGTGACAAGACGAAAAACATCTTTCTCTATTTCTTTACCGAACTCAAAACTTACCATCTCTATTAGTCTATATACTGTTAACATTTTGGAATTTAGCTGGAAAGAAAACTGGCTAGAGGAGTAGTGAAATTTGGATCGCTGGGACGAAACCACGGAACGGAGACAACCGGAACCATCGCGTAATTTTAGTGCGAAGAACTGATATTCAGATCTTGTAAATGTGCTTCTTACGTTTCTCGTATGTTTGTGATCTTTGAAGTTTTACATAATTTGGATTTTAAGCACGATACCATTCCTGGAGGTCTATTTTTTTCGGTTACGATAAGTTTCATTTTGCCCTCGTCCTCCCCGACACAATCTCGTGGGTAAATTAATATGGTAGATTCGCTGTTTTTGTTTTGTTTTTTTAAAGGTTTGCTGCTCTGAGACAGTAAAATATACCCTCTTACGGCGTTGGTAGTGCCTGACTATTTTTTATCCCATCAAATTTAAAAAAAAAGAATTAAGAAGCCGTCGTCAATGAGATTGAATTGCTTATTGTTTTTGTGTCAATTTGCACTAAACATGATCGGCCCGCGCTCATTTTGCGGGGAAAATAATGAACCCTGGATGGAGAGAGACGCCGAAAGATTCTGGTCTGGAATTCCCGGGAATGCAGTCTTAATGACTTGGCCTGGCATCGCACCCAGACCCCTCTATCTGTAGTCACCGCCGTAATGTGATAAGTTCACTGCTTCTCGTGCAATTATCCATTGATAATAACACCCGATCTCATTCTTCTAGGAACAAAAAAATTAATCTTCACACGTAAAAAATTCCCTTTATTCTCTAATTCTACTTTCCAAAAAGTTACAGAATGCTGAGCTTGCACACCAGTGGCTATAGCGCCGGACGAGAACAAGAATCTAATAAGAGATGATAATAGAAAGTATGTTTCTATGATGACGTCCTTGGTGAATTGCTTTTTAGTATGATCGTTAAATATTTGTTATCAAACTAATGTTATAAAACCAGACAGTTCCCCTCTCCGTTGTTTTGACTCCGCTGAGCGAATTCTTTTTTATCGATAATCCATCGGGGATGAGCTTTTTTTTCCATTTCTCCCCGCACAGCAGGGAGTTTAGGATACTAGAATGTTGAATCGACAGGGGCTTACCTTAAAGACGGAATCCCCTTATCCGGGTCAATACTTTCCCTCCTAAGGTATTTCAAAGCTCTCCAGCTGTCGGAGATCCCAAGGGTTTCTCAAATTACCGATCCTGTTCGCTAAGTTGGCTAAAGTTAACAACTCAGGTTTTGTCATTGTAAGTCGACTAAAAAAATCTAAACGACCAGTTAGATACGTTGAAAATTTAATCAGAATTGGCAGATAATAGATTAGAAGGCAATATGCCCTTCAGGGTATAGGATGTTTCATTCCCTATAGTGAATGTCGGGGAAGTCCTGAGTAATAAAATTGAACACAAACTTTAAATATCACACTAAGGTGAAGCGCATGTTAAAAGTATGGGTAAAATCGCTCTACATTTGACTAAAATCTCAAAAAAGAGAGAAATCCAAACGTATCTCTCTTCAATAGACGTTTGCAATTGATATCAAAGAAATAATAAAAAACAATCAGTGAACGAAAGGATGTTGAATCTAATTTGCTTTCACTTGCACGGGGGTGTAACCCTGATGAGCCCGCGATTTCTTGTACCACAGCATATATGACATTCCCATCATACATAGCACACTCGTCATGGTGGATGCAATGACAAAAGGACTGCTCTTCTCAGCAGCTGCAATAGTTAAATAGTTCACATACAGTCAGGTATAAATTAGAGAATTCATATATTGAACAAAAAAGGTTTCATTTGAAATTATTACCGCAAACTCAATGGTCAAACGACATGCATATGCGTGAGGATCAATTCTGACCTTCTGCGTACCAATTTCTGGCGCAAAGTTCCAAAGGAAAACATAAGCCCTGTCTCGCAAAAATAAGCGAAAGAAGATTTAAACGTTCATGGAAATCTATATAAGGAAACAAAAGTGGAGAAAAAGAAAGCACGAGACTTTTCTAGCACGAAGCTTATTCAGGTACGGGTAGCCTGAAGATTCACCATTCTGTTTTGAGTTTTACCAAAATGTTTGTACGCTCTTAAAGCATCGTAGCTCTTTGGCTTGTGTAGTTGTGTGTTACTCGTGTGAGACAGCTTGGTTCTGATATTGAAAACACGCTACCTAGTCATTACAACTTTGGCACATGCGCAAATGTTTCAGACCGCCGTGTTATTACCACGTAGCTTTTGTATATTTTTAAACAGCCAATCAAAGGCATAGATAGAAACAGTTTACAAGCACCTAGACCGCCTTGTCTTAGCATTCTGTTCTACTTTACCTTTGATATTCATGTCGTGCACTTCCTCAACATCCTGTAGAACTGTCTCCTCGTTGATTTCATCCTTTCGCATGAACGGTCCTTGAGCCAATAGATACTCCTCGTCATTGTTTTCCTCGGTATACAGCGACCTCTTTTGTCTGTCAGACAGACAGCCCTGTGCACAGCGTGAATTAGGATCCTTTGCGTTGCATATCTTTACCTTGCAGTGCATGTACACAAATTCATGTTCGCCCAAGAATTTGAACGCTTCCAGGCTAAACTTTTTGTTTCTCTGATCGTCTGATGAAATGTATTCCACGGTTTCGTCTGTTGTACACCTGGAAAAAAAAGACAAGAAAGTTAGCAATTTGCAGACAACAACAAGTGATGACTTGTAGTGACGAAATGGGGTTCATTGTCATATAAATGCAGTTGACATTACGGACCTATCAATATCATCACCTTAGAGGAGGAGGGAGGTGCAAAGGACCTTAGTGGGATCACATGTGGTTTTAGGGGGAAACAGACGGACGATCAGTCTTTGCCAACAAAGGGGAGGGGGGGGGCTAAGAATATAACAGAGCCTTTTGGGAGGATAAGGTAAATTGTATTCTGGACAAAACCTAGCCTTCCCCCCCCCTTAACCCCCTTAACCCCCTTAACCCTAACCCCCCTCCCCCCGCCGCTTCGGCGATAAATAATTTCTGGTCCTCTATCAATTTCCAAAGACATCATTAAGTATTAACTCGTCGTTGAATATCGTTGAAATTTTGCGTGTGTAGACAAATACATGGCACCAAGTTTACTGCCTGTCAGTTGTGGATAAATCTTTAACACTAAACAAGTCCATACCCATCTTCGATGAACACGTATTTCAATGCAGGTTTATTGGGATCAGGATCAGGTGTAGCAAAGCATGTCTCTGCCATAATCTCAAGTTTCTCGTCGTCTGTGTCTACGCTGACCTTCACAAACAGACGCTCCCTTAATGTAACGGAAACTGGGAAGTCTTCCTTTCTGTAATTATTAACAAAATCGCTATTCGGGAATATATTCATTTCTAGGATGAATTGTCCAAATCCTTTCCTGGAGAAAATGATCTTCTTGCTCGTCACTTCCAGACCAACAGCGGACACGACTCCCGTGTTTGAGTAGTAACAGCTGAAAGGTATTTCCACTTCACGGACACGTGTGACTATCTGACCATTTTCAATCGGAATTTCCTCCACCTTGTTCTTGTAAATTACAAAATTCTTAGCGTGTCTGACTTTTGTGCCACATTTGGTCAATTCCGTTTGAAGAATAAAGCGATCTCCGGTTGGGTTCTCTATGGCTCTGCAGTTTACATCGGAAAGACGAATATGCTCCACATCTATGCCTTTGAGGAGGGTCTTTCGAATGCTAATTGTCATCTCGTTCTTTCCGCAAACGACGTTGACGCCTAGAAAATTTAACACATTGTCACTCCTCTCCAATATGAAAGCAAAACAGGGATTTTTGCTGAGATTTATCAATGAATTGTTTCTCTTGCAAGAACATAAATTAAAACAAATACTGAACACTCCTAGGATCCTCGTCATGTTTTGGGAGCGGCAACAATATGTAGACATTCATTTCCTGCCTAATCATTTTGGTCTTTACTAGAGACACTTTCTTTAGATTCACGTTTCTGATGAATCTTATTCTTCTCATGGAAGTGATCTAAGCTTAATTCGCAGAGAGAGGGTAATTCCTCTACTCCCCGGAAGATGCAGGTTTTTGTTTATTTTTTAGTATAAAGAGATGGATGAAGCCGACCCGTGAGGAGTTAATGTAGTCGATCATCATGATAACGGTTTCATATCATGAGTGGAATGGAAAAAATTTGATAAGTCGATAAAAATCAAAGACTTCTCACCTGAAGATGGTGGAGGTGGTTTTGTTGTATCTATGACAAATAAAACATTTCTCAGATTAGTAGACAAATTAACTATTATTGTTATTAGACAACCCTTCTTATTTCCCACAAGTAAAGATCCCTTCATCGTTTGCTAGAATACCTAGGTGCTTCTGTTCTGAATATCATAACTGAATACATAATAGTCCACCATGGAAACATTCGTTTTGCTATATGACCATAAAATACGTCGAAAGAAAGGGCATGGTGAAAAAAGAGTGAGTAGAGAAAGTTTAAATATTTACAATTAAAAAGTTATTGCACGATTGGTGAAATGATTTCCTAGAATTGGACATGTTTACAAAGCGTAGGATTCATGGGAGTATGAGAGGTTCTTATTGCTATGCACATTTTTGTGATGAATTTTTAACGTTTCCCTGTCTTAAACAACACCCAGCTGATCTATACTGTATTGCGAGGACCTCAATGGGATGGTGGCTTTTACGGCTATACAACTTTGGCCAATCTACGGCTAACGGTGAATATCTTTCCAATGTTATTAAAGGTAACTTTCTTTACGTTCAACCTTTTTCGCGGCTGACGGTTAAAATTTGACAATTTTTGTGCTTATCAGCTAAACGTTTTGGCCGTTTTCCGGCTAACAGTTAACCCCATTGAGACTCCCGATTACTCGTCAGACGAATCAATTTTTCAGTTAGGATGCTATTCACAATGGTAACATTTATAGCCTTGGAGCTTACTTGAAAGGAAACATATCATCAACATATTATTAGCAGGGAAACAAGCGATTTTACTTTAGTCTTAATTTAGAACTTATCCGTAAAAACGAGCCCGATCACAAGACATGGCAAAATGGTTATGAAGTTAATCATGGACAACTTAGTAAGTTTACTTACTTGTTGGCGATTCCCTTTCTGAAGTGGATGTTGGCAATTCCGTTTCTGAAGTGGATATTGGCGATTCCGTTTCTGAAGTGGATACTGAGAAAATAAAAATAAATAATTGCAACGATCGTTAAAATCATTCAACGTTAATGCTAACAAGGAGGAGGCTGAAACTGCCGGTCATGTTGGAGTAATATGTAAATCGAGAAGTTTCTGACCTTCTACCGTCCTTTAATTTCTTTGAAATCTTTAATCCATTAGTCTGCTAATAATTAATTATCATTGTTTATTTACACGCAAACTGTCATTTATGCAGTGTTTCCAATCAAAATGTATCAGAGAAATAAGGTTTTATTTTTCATCAGGTCTTCATCATTGCACGCATTCATCAAGAGAAATATTTGACTTACCTTGGGTTGTTGGCTTTTCTGGGCCAGGAGTGAGTCCTGTGAAAAAGGACATAATCATATTAGAATATGTGCTTCTAATCGTTCCCGCAAACTTGTCACATGCATGTCCATCATTTGACGTTATTGTGATACCTATCCTATAACGCTAATGTGGAAAAATTCGCAGGAATTTTTGCCGGCAACGGCTTCCCACTGAGGCAAAAAAAGACTTACTTTTTAAGAAATTTAGGTGGCATCTTTCAGAATGATAATATGTGTTTACTCACCCTCGCCATTGCCACAATAACGAAAGCTGCAGCCTACCATCGGGTCTTGTTTCAGGTAATAAATGAAAAATGTTCCACAGTTGCGCACTTTCACTCGAGTCTTCCAAAAGCAGCAGTTGTTTTTCCAGTGAAAGCAAACTGTTCTGGCAACTTCTCCTTCAGATGGGTCTTCTGGATGAGGACCCCGCAACCAGCCGGGAGCGTTCGTCCCGCAATGCTTGACGGGAACACATTTATCAGCCATCATGGTACCTGCTTTGCCAGCAAAGCGATACCAAGCCTCTGGTACATTCAGAATGTCCATGTCACATTTAGCTCGTCTGGACCTGTTAAACCCTTGAGCGCGGCTCGGCCCCCTGAGGGTAATGTAGTCACCAGACAAACATGGATTCTCTTCAGGAGAGATAAAAAATACCATTGCAATCTACTCGTTCATTGAACCTTTCAACAACATGCGAACTGCGAGGCTCAGGGATCTTGTTTCAAGTGATGATCAATCATTATCACTGAGAAGACAGTCATGATTCATCACCTGAGTATTTGGGTAGGGGGGGGGAGCGGGAGTTTGGTTGTGTCGCAAATTTACTTAATCCCCCCCTTAAGACCCTGTAGTATTCTAAGATCCTCTCTTAATGGCAGTCAATTTCATATAGTTTCTTCCTTCCCCCTTTAAACTCTGTTAAGACGACCGATCCCTCGGCTATTCCCTCTTAAAACCACGTCATCCCTCAAAATCCTCCGTTCCTCCTCCCTTTCCCCCCCCTCCCCCCCGCCCCCCCAGCCTTAAAAGAACCATATAGCAAAATATATAGAAATTCTGCTATCAGGAACATGACCTGTGGAACATTTGTATGTTGAGGTCCACATTATGACCAAAGATGGCGTAAACTGCATTTCAATAATACAGTAACAACATTGTACCTCGCATGATATGATGTTGAAAAGCATTTTAATTGAAACTTAGTTTAGCTTATCAAAAAAACAATCCACATAAAGAAATCACAAATTTTTGCATAAGACCCTCATCGGATATTCTTAAAAAAAACTTTTGATTTGTAAATCACAAGTATATGTGAAGGTGGAGGCATCTTCTGTTATAAACTAAATCAGATTGCTCAAATTCAAAAGTAAGAAAATATTTGCGGCGAAATCGTCGAGGTAGGGGCAAACTTGCAGTGGGGCCATCCGTGGATCATGTAAAAGAAAGTTCCACAAACTAGTTCTGTTTGTACTCTTCAACCCGCAATTCTTTGCTTATGTTAACCCTTTCCACCCTAACATCAGTATGTATTTTCTCCATACTGGTCTCCATATATTTCGTAAGATGTTGACAAGGAGAATTTGTTTAAAAACCAAGAGCTGCTTTAGTTGGTGATCATTCCTTTATTCTCATGACCTTAATGTGTGATTGAAGGTTAGATATTGTAAGGAGAAATTAGATGCTAGTCACTCTCAGTGATTAAAGGGTTAAAGCTATTTTTTGTAAATTCGGGATACCTAGTGGCGTAATGGTTGATGCGCTGGACTCCCGGTCAAGAGGTCCGGGTGCGAGACCTAGCCGGGTCAATGTGTTGTGTTCTTTGACAAGACACTTTACTCTCACAGCGCTTCTCTCCAACCAGGAGCATAAATGGGTACTGGTGAACTGTCAGGGAAGCCTGGTGAGGAGTAGTTATGCTCCTAGTCGCTTAATGCTACATGGAAACCAGGATAAAGTTCGGCCGGGTGGGGCACTGAGCTCGAGTAACGTCTTTTTTTTTTTTTTACCCTGGTGAACTTACCTCTCTCCTTTTTAGCTTCACGCTTGCATACTTCATAACGCGACACTTGTCCTAAAAAGTGACAGAAGAAAATTCACAACAGTTTAAAAAACTGATACTCCAATGAAGAATGGGGCAGTGTCGTGGCCAGTTCAATAAACGGAATCATCCTTTTGGCGCAAAAATAGGCGCGGACATTTGAAGCTCTTACCGCCCTACAAAAAGAGTCCTCTATCACACAAATATCATTAAATAGTAATCTTTGCTCTTGCGTAAGGAACACAGGTTTCTTCTCTGTGACTGAGCGAATATGAGTCCATCAAGACGCTCTTTTACACTACACTGCAAAACAGGAATGTAGAGTGGCTTTTCTTCAAATAATAACGGAAATAAAAAAAATTGTCATTGGTTTTACTTTCCTAGCCACCTTCTAAAAAGGATTATCTTCACGAGTAATTGTTGTTTTAAACTCACCAGTTCCATTTCTGGATCCATTCCCGCAATACCGTAGAAAATTCATGGGAGGATCTCTGAACTTGTACACAAAAAATCCACGGCAGTTCTTGACCTTGATCTCGTTTTTGTAATAGCAGCATTTCCCTAACCAGTTGAAGCAAACTGACCTGGTAGAAATTCCCTCAGCCGCTTTGGGATGACCACCGTACAACCAACCTGGGGCCTCGGCACCGCACCGCATCGTCTCAACGCAATGAGTTGGCATGGCTGTGCCCGCCGACCCATTGAATCGATACCAAGTGTCATATTTCACTTTGTCCCATGACATTAGGTCACATTTAGGCTGGTCATAGGTGATAAATCCTTCAGCTCGATCAGGGCTGTTCAATATTTTGTAGTTGCACCTATTACACGGATCGGGATCTGAAATGACATCAAATGTCATTCAACTCGCTTAATTTAATACAAAGATACAACTGGGTGTGAGCTAGAATACTTAAATTGTAATAGTGTCGTTTGATCGTACGGGTGAGTGTAGTCCTGAGAAGGACTGTTGTTGGTAGTGGTGACTGACGTTTCGACAACCTGAGTGGAAGTCATCATCAGAGTCAAGTGAAAGGTTGTTGTCAGTCGAATGTACTTAGTCCGGTTTGTTTATACTGATTGGTCAGTTTTGCCGTGATGTTATTGGCTTTAAGACTCAAGTGGCGTAGGTCAGTCGTGATTGGTCGGTTTGGATCCGTTATAGAAGTTAGGTCGTTCTGTTCGGTTCGTTTGTAATGTTAATGTCGTGGATGAGTCGTTTGTATGGTGTCGGTAGTGGTTGACACCTGTTGAGGTGAGTCTGTTCCAAGTTAGTAAACCAGCTTTCCAGGGTCAGTCGTTGAAAGTAGTTGGTGCTGTAGGTTAGACATTGCGCAGAGTCCCAGAGTCCCACACTACGTCAGTTACTGACTAATATCAAAGACAGAGACGAACCGAGGAACAGACAAGGAGCAGTATATAAGATCAATTGCTCCGACTGCCACGCCTCCTACATCGGTGAGACTGGCAGAAACCTCGCAACTAGACTGACTGAACACAAACGAACGACGAAGAAAGGTGATGTCAACAATCACATTGCTGAACATCACCGACGTACGAACCACACTATTGACTGGTAGCGCGCGCTTTCTCTTGGTCCTATCATATTTCCTTTATGGCGAACGTGAGGTCGATGAAAAGTTCATAAAATCGCCACTAAGTTATTTACCAAAATAAAACAGGAGTGAGACATTATTTAGACGTAAAGTTCACAACGGATTTTATGTGATGTAAATGAAAAAAATAAGGTTCTTGAAATGGTTTGCCTTCATCAAATAACACATGGCTTCGTAACTCAGTTGTAGATAGCGCCAAACTGGTATCTGGAGGGCCTGGGTTCGAATCACGTCGAAGCCTGATTTTTTTCCCTCAGGCATTGGACGGGTCTATTCTGCTCTTTGAAGGCGTGGATGAGCTTGAGATCAGATTTCTTTTAAAAATCGTTTTTACACACTAAAGGATCGTACAGCAATGCCTAGAAGTCCTTTGTGTTCAGATATGAAAGTTTTATTATTATTATTATTATCATCATCATCGTCATCATCATCATCATCATCATTATTGTTATTATTATTAGTAGTATCATTATAATTATTATTTGTGTTGGCTTGAACATACCTTTAGCGTCACATAATCCAGGACAGGACCTTTGTCCTGAAAAAAAGTGGTAAAAGAAATAACACAGCAATTTACAAATCTGACAATCCAATGATGAATGAGATTTTATAACAGGGTAGTTTCATAGTGAGTATCGAAAATAATCCAGGATTACTTAGGTTTTGTTTTGTTGCAATTTTATTGTCGTTCTCAAAAAACACCAAAAAACAAAAAACAAAAATTAGATATTAAACTTAGATTATTATTATAATAATATTATTATTATTTTCATTATTATCATGATCATTATTATCATTATAATTATTATTTGTGTTGGATTGAACTTACCTTTAGCGTCACATGATCCATGACTGGACTTTTGTCCTGAAAAAGAATGATAAAAGAAATAACACAGCAATTTAGAAATCTGACAATCTAATGATGAATGAGTTTTTATAACAGGGTAGTTTCATATTGAGTATCGAAAATAATCCAGAATTACTCAGGTTTTGTTTTACTCCAATTTTATTGTTGGTCTCCAAAAAAAATTATTTAAAAAATCAAACAAACAAAAAAATACTCATATTATCCTCCTCACCAACAAGATGCAAAGCTTATATCAAAGTTTATCAAAGCTTATCAAGGCTTTTCAAAGCTTATACCAAAGCTTATATCAATGCAAATTTTTTTCCGTGGGTTCTCCTTGGTCTTTTCATTAGAAATTTCAACTAAATCACTGAATAGAAGTGATGAATCATAGCTCTGCCGAGATTGCTTCAATTTTGTTTTACTCAGATTTTACTGATAGTCTCAAGATAAAATTAAAAAAAAAAAACTCCCTTTTTCCTCTCTTCATCAATGAGATGCGAAGCTTACTTCAATAAAAATTTGGTTACTCGTGTTTTCCCCCATTTCTGGTAGCCTTGCGTTTTCTTGACTGAGTTCTCATTGCTCCCTGTCGATATTTATTCTGTTCTGGTTGGAAAATCAACGACCTCTTTGGGTTTTGTTTTAAGAGATTCAAACTGCGAAAAGCTCTCTTTTGGCCGACACCAAATGCTTAATTGAAAGCACATATATAAGATTAGGAGAAGTATATATGTAGAAAAATGGGTCAAATGTACGTAGCCGAACGCAAATGACATTGAAATACACGACTAACTCATAAAGAAATGCGAGTCGAGAGGAGACATCTCACCAAACTTATCCACTTAAAGTAGACAAAATGGCCTCTTCAACCAGTGAAAAACAGTGTAACTTTCATTCAAATGCCAGGCCAAGAGGGCTTATTTTCATGCAAATAGTAAGTACTCACTGATTGAGTGGGAGGGCCGAACGGGAAAAACAGTTGGCTCAAAGTCAACACACACACGTCCGTGCGTCATAAGCAAGAATAATGTAATATAATTAAAAACAATGGAAACCCTTGCTTTGCTTTTTCGAGTCAGTATAAGGAACTCACGATTCATCGAAAAACGCAACATTGTGTAACAAAGCCGTGTGAACCGGCCCAAGTACGAACTTTCACACGTCAAGTTTTACTGCGGTTTTCTATGGGATTGCGCGCGCGGGGCCGTACGGGTCGTATAATAAAAGATTTGTAGTGTTGCCTTATGGAGGGAATTTACTAATACAGCACTGAATTTTCTGCTAGAACTGCTAGAAGAATATTGCATACAGTTTCATGTACCGAGTAGCGAGGCGGAGGCTGAATAAAAAATTCAAGAAAAACCAAAATACTAAAAATCTTGACAAAAAGCAAACAAAACATACTTGGAAGGGAAGTAGACGCAAAAAAACACGCAAAGGTTTCATCCCGGAAAATTTCAGAACTAAGTCTTGGTTTGCGGTGGCTTTATTCGTGCTTTACATTTGCTAATAAGTTACAGCGAGATAATAGAAGGGAAACAGTGTTATTGACATCGGTATGAATGAAATGCTTCCCTCTGATGACATTAACCGACTTTGACCACGCCTCAAACAGAAAAATGAACTGTTCTGGAAGATGAGACTCTCAATTAGGTGATGGCTTTTGCGACTAACGGTTAAAAGTTTGGCCATTTCCCTGCTAGCAGCTAATTTCTCACAGTTGCGATTAAAAGAGAAGCATTTTACGGTTAACTTCTTTACGACGAACGGTTATAATTTGTCAATTCTTACGCCTAACTGCATTCTTAATTTTTTAGCCGTTTTACGGCAAGTAAAATTGAGAAATGCAAAAGAGCACAGCAGTGATTCCATATGACGAGTTTAGTTCAATTGCTCCAAACTCACATTGACATCAAAAACGGCAACACAGAACTTTCACAAATATTTCCATTTATAAGGTTATTTTGTGAATGCGTCGCGCAACAACGAAATGACACAGATAGGCCGTTGTCATGCCAAGTAATTCCAGTTGCTAAACTAAATAGTTTTGAATATCTTGCTCCTAACATAAATACAAATTTATTTTCTAATTGCTCTAGCATGGCAAAATGAAATATAATAGATTTTTCCATGCCGCTGTTCTGTCTTATGAAATATAAATAGAGAGTGCCCCTGAGGAAAAATAGTTTTCATTTCTTTTTGTTTTGTCATGTAAAACACCTCTCTCGAATTTTTTAATCATTCACTCAGTTTCTGTTTTAGCCATGAGATAAATGTAGTATAAAAGCGAAAAAACTACAAGGACAAGTTTGTCATTGCCTCAATTCGATATTCCCAGAAACTGAAAATGAAAGAGCCTGCAATTATGACAAACCGGAAAAAATGCATTTCTTTTATTAGAAGGCTCCACGTTACAAAGCCGATGTTTTGTCGATTTCTCTGTCGGAACCTCATTCTGTTTACGCCTGTGTCTTTAGAAAGGAATAAGGAAATCTTGTGACAAAGAAAAAGCTTCAGAAAAAAATTCTTTTTTACCACTATGGTCGGTAAAATTTGAGTTGCATAATGCATTTGATAAAGTTTACCGGTTGAGTAAACTCCCGCAGAATATGATGGATAAACAAGATCGAAGTTTCGCAAAGCTACGAAGAGCTTAAAATATTTCGTTGGCAGGCGTACATTTTGTTGGAGGCAAACGTAAGACATTCAAAATGTACAGTTCTTTGACAAGTGCGTTTGCTGTGCCGAACTGGGGCTCAGATACAGGGAGAGAGCCACGGAATCAATAGTCGTAGGAAGAATTTGTCTAAAATTAGAACTTATCGGCAAAAATAGATTACAATTATTTAGAAAAATGTTAACTTAAAATTCTGCCGTTAAAACCCGCAACACTCAACAGTAAATATAAATATTTCACACCTGTTTGAGCTCTCGGAAAAACTTAAGTTCTAATAAGTTTATGAACATCAGTCATAAATGCGGACAAGGGATCCTTCAATCCTGACCAACCAATAGCATCAACTTCTATCATTGAAAGCTAACAGCGGTAATTCAGCCACTATCGTAAATCAGTGACTATGAACTGCCTCACTTCATATAAGAGAACGTGTGGATGAAGACTTGTGAAATTAACGCTATTCACAGGCTTGATAATTGATGATAGCCGCTTCGAACTTTAAGTCTTTTCTTAAATTTCAGTTATAAGTAAATGTTTTGACGCCCTGTGAGAAAGATCAAAGTGTGGTCATGTTTTAAAGCAAGCTAACATTCTGGTTCACTATGTGAACTTCTTCAGAAAAATGCTCTTTTTGATCTGAATACCCAAAAATGTGTGCTGGCTTAATGTAGGCATAGGTCCTACCATTTTTTTCCTTAGGTACATGAGTAACACCTTTTGCACAATTTCACCGGGAGACTACTATTTCGACAAATGAATCTCCGATATCAACAGAAGATTACTGAACAATATTCCTCTAACATACTTACATATCAAGAAATATTCATGTTTTTGTATGATCTTAATACACGTTTAGCCTAGTATTTCTGGATGTGGAATATACATCAACAAGAATTTCTTGTCAACATATAAAAAATGGGTTAAAATTCACTTCAATTCCACGGCAATCGAGAGCAAGCAAGCTGATAACGACATTGATAAAGACAAGTTTCATTGTTCTCACGTCGAGCTCTTCGCCCTGTAAAGGAGGGCTGTGTTGTGCAATAACGGCAACAGGGAAAATGTGTGTTATCTTTTCATTCTAGGTTTTCCGCTTTTTGCCCTTTTTCGCTCAATGTTTGTTTCGGAGAACAAAGAAGGTCATTTTCATAATAGCTTACTGTACAGACGGCAACCCGTAACCTTGACAACCACCATTGTCTTTATGCAAAATGAGTCAACTTTAAGTCTCAAAATGAATTACATATGCTAAATTTATGTGCGCTTTCATGCATTCGGCTGTTGTGGGATGCACGGGGCAACATGTCGTGACCTAGTGAAAAAAAAAAACCTTTCTTTAAGTATCTTGCTGGTGCAATACTAGAAAAGGTCCAGCGACAGGTTTACACGACTTCTCCACCCTACTCTGTGTGACAGCGCTTTTAAAAACTGATTGTATCAAAGCGGAAAGTCATGGCGCACTGACATGTAGAGATGAAGTCCATGTTAGATGAAGATAAGAAAGAATGAAGTAAAAAAATTATAGTCGGAATGATTCTTTTCGACAATTCAAGTGTATTTCCGAGGTTTCGCTAGCTCACGTGTTAACACGTTCTAAAATGCGTCGGAAAACTTTGTTAGGATTCGTGCATTTTGCCGTAAATGCGGTTCGTTTGAGGTCAATGCTATCATCATTGACGTCAGTGTACTTGTTAACGAGGCGTTTCAAAGTTCAAATTTGCAAACAGCTCTTTAACATGATAACATATGCTACTGAGGGATAATAAAACGGACCTTTTCAAACTGCGTCGCATACCTGGAAAGCGATCACAAAAGCGCATCACAGAAAACAAACATTATACTAAGGGGCATTTGTACCAATCTTAAGTACGGTCGAACTTTGATTATTCGGACTTGAAGGGTCTCGGCTCAATGCTCCGGATAATCGAAATATAAGTATAAGTGTACGTAGGTAATGGGGCCAGAAAAGCAATTCCGGACAATCGAAACATCCGGATAATCGAGAGTTTAGAGAGTCGAAAATATGAACATACGTAGGTCATGAGATCAGAGAATCGAAAATCCGGACAATTGAGGATTGGATAATCGAGATTTAAATCAGGACTGAAATATTTGTGTCTACTGTAAACAGTTTATTGATCCTTCTCACTGTATGGTAATGCAATAAAATCTAAAAAGGCACGGTGAAAAACTAAATGATGTCTTTTTTTCGGCAGATAACAGTTTCTTGGCATGTCAAGCTTGCTTTAATGATCTCTCTCTCAGAAAAATAAAAATATAAAACATCGGTTGCAAATCTTTGTTTTCAGTTGCATTTAAAGTTATAAGTTTTTCACCGAGTTAAGACATTTCTTTAGCACTTAAAATTTAGAGCAGTTTGAGTAGGAAATTAACTTTGTCAAACAGATCAAATTTATAAGTCTTCAACCTCTGATTTGAGGCGTAACAAGGAAATTTTGTTGCCGACATCATCAATAATAAAGCGCTCGAAATTGCCCAGTTCTTGACGTCTAGAAACTCATGACCACCCTTGTGCAAAGAAATGTGCGTGACCTTCATGAATATTTATTTTGCGCGATTTTATTTCCATCCACGGAGCAAAACTTTTTTCACCATTAGAGAAAAAAAATCAAGTATCATTCACTGTAGATGATTACTTTTTTTTGGTATTATTTCTTTTTATTTGTTTGATTTGTTTTTTTTTGTTGTTGTTGTTTTTTTGCAAACTGGGGTTAGAACTTTAAACCATGGCACAGGGTTATCGTCAACACTGATAATTCAAAATCAATTCGATCTTTATAAGCAGATTATTACATTCAACATTTTCAATGTCAGATTTCTTGGTTACTTCCTATTTTGCCAGGCAATTTTTTACAATTTCCAAGGTTCGCCATTTTTAAATGGACGTCTTAAAGTTATCGCTTTGTATGTTTTTTAAAATGCGGTAAAAGTGTTCTTTTACATGAATTAATGGACATCAAACGCGACTCGTCTGTTTGAACTGATATCGTTTCTTCTCGATAATTGCCCGATTTACTTAATAAGACGTTAAGAAAGTGAATAAAATTTGAAAGAAGTATGATTTAGGGTAGATTTTGGGCCTATTTTTATTGAGGAATCTAACACATATTCTCGTTTAGACCCTACATTAGAAAATTATTGACGGCTCATTAGAAGGCCTCGTGTAATATGCTAGATACTTCCTGCACTATAATCCTTAATTAGACATCACCTACTTCCATGTTTCTCCTATTACGGTTTTATTGGCGAAAAAGTAGCAGTTTTAATATTTACTCTCGATTGTGTACAGCTTGTTCACAACCTAACACTTATCAGCCAAAACAGTCGCAATTAATCCTTCCAAGAACCTAACAAAACTATTCATTAAGAAACAAAGAAAAGAGATTACTAACATTATAAGAATCAATGCTCACCTGTATAGCTCGTTTCCAAGCCGCTACAACTGAAAATAAATGCACTGTAAACTAGGACGATGATAGCCAGTTCCATCTTTCTAACCTTGTCTTCTTAACTTTCAGCGCGTTCTGTGCATGTTCACCAGCTCGGAACTGAAGCAATTAGGACAACCCGGAAAATTTGCCACCTTTCTTACGAATTTTCCGCTTTGCTCAGAACGGGTTCTATTTTTTCCTGTTTCAATGGTGTTTGTATACAAAGAGGTCTTCTTGCATAATATCTGAGCCTACTGTGTCGACAATTCTAGTTGCTTATTACTTTTTACACCACTACTGTCAGTTTCAAGGCGTTTACCAGCGCAGTGAACACGAAACAAATATCAATTTGCGAAACAGCCATAAACGCAGTTTATTTGTGAAGGGTTCTCGAAAGACGTAAACGGAAAATTTTACAGGTGATCGTGGTTACGATTAGACAGGTTTCTGACCAGTTTAAGTTGTTTGTTCGTTCGAGTTTAAAAGGTTCATTAAAGGTCGTTCTAAATGAATTATAATTTACAAAGCAATCATGGTAAATCAGAATAATCATGTGGTGGTTTGTGACCACAAACCGCGTTAATTCAAACGTGCGAGAGTATGAAATAGTTTGAGACAACACATATGCCTTTCTATTAATGAGTATATGCAGTAAGTTTTTGATTATTGACAGCGCAGTGAACTTCGAGAATTGCCAAGTAAAAATTCATTTCAACGTTTGAATAACCAACCCCTCTGTGGTTTAGGTTTTGAACTGTACCTCAACCAAAGAGGGAACAAGCGTCCTCGTTGTCGAAAAAAAAAAACAAAACAAAACAACTTCCCATTAGCCCTTTGAAATTTCCGCAAAATCAAGTTTGATTTTTAAAGAATGAAGGGTGCTGTAGCAGAATGAGTTCTACACCAATCATTTACTGAGTGACATAACCTGGAAGACCGATTGAAAGTTATTAAAATGTTTGTCTTTAATCCTGAAATGCCGCGTTCTGATACATTGAGTTAACGACGTAACAGAAGATAAATTTGTTTTTTACCTACGTCCAGCCGGCATCCATAGATACAGTCTGTACACAGACACTTCCAGATGCGGGTAAAAGTCAAGCAATTTGCGTAAAAGCGATCAACAAACATCATGTATACAGTATGATATACAAATCGTATTAGGCTACCACTCATATTACTTTTTATGGGAGTGTTTTGCCTGGTTCAAATGAACATTGCAAGATGCAGATGTAAGAAAGAGATCACTCAATTACAAGAAAA